ACAATGACAACAATATGAGATGCTATAATAAAGAGCCGCGGCATTGTGCCAGGCTCGGCGCTGGTTCGAAGGGTCGCGGGATCGATACTCGGCGGATTGTCTGCGGATGCCGTGCGTGAGTCTTTGTCGGCCAGCGGGCGCGCCGCCCCCGGGACGAGCGCTCATTGAAACATCCACGCCGCGCCGCTAATCAGCTCCTATTATCTGTTATACTCCTAGCACATCCACGGACTCACAAAGGCGCTGGACTCGCATGTCAATCCCGAGATGTTCTTGGGACTGACAAAAATAATATTAAAATTAACTCATCTTGTTTAAGATGATATCAATGATAGGATCTTTGGACTGATTGCATATTATTTATACAACCCACCTTATATAGACAACTTTAACACGAGAAACATAATTCTGCTGACCTCAAAAAGATGATGGAACCCATAAGAGTAAATTTTGCTAGAGGTGTGAAGTGTCGGCGCGCTTGATGATAAAACATCGAGTTTAATGTAATAATCCGTCGATCGACCGTTATCATTAGTTCGATCCAGCACACCTCCTGCAGCTTTGCAGATTGCTTTCATCCACTTGCTTATTATGGACATAGCTATAATATAATGATGATATGCGTTCTGTTCATGACAGACAAACAATATGATGGAAAGATTTTGAATTTTTTTAATTTAAATATGATACATATTCATAAATACGCAATGATATACACACAATAATAAAAACTACGTATCTACGTATCTATCACCTTAAATATCAAAGGTCACATTAGTGTGACAATCGTTCGTCCTCAACATCGTAGTCCTTGAAATATCAGTCTTACAAAAAATATGAATAAAATTGAGTAAAAATCAATATATTTGTTAAATTAAATGGTCATATCCAGTATATGTTGCGAGAGGCGCGGGCGCAGAGAGCGCACCCCGCAGCGCGCGTCGATCACCCGATGCGCTGCAATTAAACTTATATCTAGCTAATCCAATTATATAACTACACACGATTGTCTTTGATCACCTACCACTGGAAAGGATAGGCATTTTAGTATGGCTACACCTGTTCATGATAGATAAATAATGTTACTATAAAGACTCGTTTAAATTTCTTGTAAATTTAGAGTTTCGTAATAGTATGCAAAGTTTTGAAATATTCAGAGGTTTTATTTAAGTAAGATTGAAATTATATCTAAGTTTAATTAGATGTAATAAAACGTAATTCAATTAGTTAGTATCAATAACTTTACGAAATCACCAGTTTGATTAATGATTTAAACGATATCGCAACACTACACAACGTGTGTCCACTTTTATTCGTAGTTATTCTCAGCATTGTGCAACAATAGACTTGACATATAAGTACAAATACGTGAGCAACGTTTTAATGATGAGAACTTCGGAATTTGAAATGTAACCGTTAATTTACGACGCCATTTTTAATTAAACGCGATGACTAAGTGCAGGGGTCCATCACAGTCGGCACTCGAAGGCGATCTATTATTAATTATTATTTTGATCGATCACGCACCATCTTATTTTATTAGAGATCCAGGTATGTTTTTTGGATATCGTTTATTAATTATGCAGTTTAAAATTAAGTGTGAATTAATGATTGAGAAATCTTCATTTCTTGTTAAAAGTACGCGAATTGTGTACCAAAAGTTTTGGAGCAGGTATTGGGTAAATTTATCCCTCGCCGAGTAATTTGGCCGGTCCGTAAGGGAACATTATCCGCTTGGCTAGTAGTTTCACAGAAATCAATAATCCTAAGCTTTTTTACGATTATTTCTCGAAAAACTAACACTTTAAATCCCTGCAAGATCTCGAAGTCAAAGAGGCCGCGGATTAGCGAACTATTTTTTTGTTTGAACAAAATTTGAAACGTTTTTCGATTACACGAGAGATGTAATATTTAGGAGATGCATTGAACAATGGGCTTCCGGGGACTGTTGATCTCAAGGTAGGTATTGCGTGAGAAGATAAACCAAGAACAAGTTGTAGGAATTAAAGCGTCCAATGATTTTACAGATTATCGCGTCTCTGTTTTCATTTCAAAGACGATATTATTTTTTTGTTTTAATATACTTGTGCTTATTAAATTTTGAAACCTAATAGTCAACGCAGACTAGACTAGGCATTTATACTTCCAACAGGTTGTAAATATTAAAACTGAAACTAAATCGCACGGGGATTATTCTCATATCGTTCGATAAGTAACACCTACGTGAGGTCAGCACATTTGCGGCGCGATCGCGGCATGATACCGACGACGTATCGATCTTATCACAATGACGTGGCGATATCGTAATTTATACACTCCACGAACTGTCCAGTCCATGAAGAAAGGCTTTTATTCTAACCCGTCATTATTTGCTCTATTTTGAAACTTTGATAACGAACTAGCTTGTTTTGTATATGCTGTTTGCTTTAGAAGACTAACGAAATACAAAGAAATAGGCACTTGAGGTAATTTTGAAAATAACCATTTAGTTTAATAATGCTTACTTCAAGGAGATAGTTAAAAGTTATTAAAATTAATTTAGAAAAAACGGTTGTTAGTATACCGCTTGGTCGTTGCAGAGGTGGATGTTGATTATTTTATTCACAGATAAACAATTGTGACGTAAGAGATAGGTATTTGAGAAATTCTGAAAGTAAGTATATCGGCTTTAAATCAAACTGACAGGTAAGCAAATAGAACAAAACAGTCTTCTTCCAGGAACGTCGAAAGTCCTTGCCCATAAATCACAGGACTCGACAAATGGATTCTACGAGTTTTTTTTTCCCGCCACTCATTTATTAATAGGGCAACGGAATGTTTCGGAAAACCAATAAAATGTGCCCCATCATATACCTGTCCTCCGGCAGACAGCGTGGCATTGTTCCCTTGAGATTTTTTCTTCATTTTGTATATCGAATGAAACTTCATAGTTGACCAGCTATATCATTATCCGAGCTGAGTACACCTTCTAATCATTTAACCGATTCAATAAGGATATTAACACCGATTCTTAACCGCTTAATGACCGTAATTCGACTGTGTCAGATTTAATAATGGACATTACCGCGCCAATGATATTCTTTGAATAAACTGATGATAGTAAATTTTATAGCAGATATTATATTAATAGCAGCTAAGTAGATAGTAGAAAATTTCAATTTGTCATTATTTTAATGTCTTTTTACAGTGATGCTGCATTTTAGTGTTTCTTAATTTGTAATAGAGGTGATAATCGTGTTTGTTATTATAAAGTGTACCGCGTCATTGGGATCGCATGAGTTTTGCGACTAACCTATTTTTGTGAATGGAGTTTTTTTTCGTTGGCGTGTCGTGTATCACACAATGGGCTCCTTCAAGGTATTTTGCGCGTGTGAAAGAGGATCCATTCTCTCAGTCCTTATGGAATGATCCAAAAATAATTGTCATTTCCTGCGGCTAATATTATTGTTATTCATAAATATATATATTCGACTATAATGAAGTTAACACTTTCTCTACGTTTATGAACTTAAGTGTTCGCCTACGGGTTTAAGTATTATGTTCGTATGAAATAACACTTTTTTTTCTCAACTTAAACAATTTTCGTAAGTAATTTTAAGTATGTATATAAAAGATACATAAAAAATAATTTAAGAATCCAATCTGTAAACCTTTTCATCAACGTAAAAAATCAACGTAAAAGCAAAGTATTTCGTAATTAACCACAAATAATAAGTTGCGAAGATATAAAATAATTTGAATCACATTCAATATAACAAAATATCGGAATGTAGGAATGTCTGAAATCCACACCCACCAATAATAACCTAAGTTCCATGTCAACATAGCAAACGTATTCTGAAGCGAGTAATCACGGAGGAAATGACAAGTTTTGGGTCACGAAGCAGCCTCATGCTAAAATTTTGTAACACCTTCCAAATATAAATCCATTCAAATATAGCTCTTAACACAAGGATATAAGAATAGCCTATCATTTTAAGAGCGACAAACATAAAGTTGCAGATGGCCAAGACACGGAGGGTAAGTTTCATAGGGTAAGTTAGAGACGTGGGAGGTCAACTAATGGCTGTCGGTGACAGGTAACACGAGACGAAAGACAAAGTGCATCGCAAATGACATTCGTCGTGAGTTACCCTGATGGAGGTTAATAGTATGGACGATATTATTAATAGAAACTTCCACTTTAGGAAATGTTTGTTGACAGAGAACAAATCGAATGTGAATTTACTTTTCTTTTCTTATAGATTTCATTTATCGTGTATGTATTTATTAACTGTAATTTTTATATAAATAAAACTAGAGTGTTTTGTTGTAATGATAAAATAATTTCAGTTTCACAAAAACGTAATGGTTAAAAATTATTTTTCAAAAATTATTGTTTATCTGTTTGTACATATTTCTGAAACGAATGCACAAATTTTGACAGTATTTTCACTGGTTGATAGAAGATTATTATTATTTATTTTCATTACAATAAGTACATACCCGTAATGATAAAAAAGAATTGTACATTATAAACCTATATTTAAAAAGTACTCTATATAATATTATATCGCAAAATATATTAGGTAACTTCTGTTCGTATATAATTGTTTAAAAAAGGTAAATGTTTAAATAATAACGAAAATGTGAAAAAATATATAAAGATGAACCCTTAATATTTCTATCAAAAAGAAAATTCGGTTACATAGTTTTCATAAAAACTCGCAAAAGTTTACAGCAAGATATACATTTTGTTTTACTTTTTCTGTATAAGATGACGTTTTTACAAATTTAAAATGACGGAGAAAATTCTCAAAAGACAAAAATATATGTGAAAAAAAATCCAAACTGAATTCAATTCAATTGATCGGTACCTAATCATATTTCAACAATAAATTTTCTAATTTATTAATTAATAATAAATAAAACATTTACTAGTTAAATGTAAACGAAATATTATTGTATGAATCATAAAGAACTTTTTATCTTTTAATGTATTTATGAATATTATAATGTACCAGTAGTTAGGTACGGAGTGCAGGTACACTCCTTTTAAGTCGTATTGAAACCCGACGCCCTCTGCAGGACACCTGTGTAATCGTTTCATCATCTATATAATACACCTCTAATTCCCATGATACCCCATGACATCTAACACCTTTGTTGTCTTCAAACCTTTTCACCTTCAATTAAGGATTCGCTATTGTCTTTTAAAGGAAGATGACACACTTTTTACCCGGTTTTTTTTCAATCTCGGGAGTCAATGTTGTGAATAGTAACATGATTTAGTGTGATGTTTTGTTGTTTAGACGATTTATAGTAACAAGAGTGTCAGGTTGTCTCTAATAGAATTCGGGAGGGTTGAGTTTTTGATGACAACGAAAAAAAAAAATTGTTTAATTTAGTTTTTTCGTTATCTCCTCTGTCAGTCTAATTTTATTTTTTACTCCTCGGATGATTTATATTCAACAATAGTTTTTAAAGAACGTTGACAAATAACATTATAAAAAAACTTGATTTTTAATTTTTACTTTAACATGGAATTATAACAATAACACACGTTATTTGGAATGTGTTATTAAAACCTTTTAGCTTTTTAGAACAACAATAAAGCAGATAACAAAAAAGCAATTACATTAATCGCAAACCTGGAGGCTGGGAGGGTATGAATTAGAGCGTTATTTTTGTGCAGGATCAAAGTGATCGTCGGTGACGTGTCTTCCGGCAAGATGGCGGCGTTGTCGGCGATTGTTTGATCTGCGAGTAATGAAGTATGCCACCAGCCACCAGCCACCAGCCACCTCCCCGCTTCCTGCGGGGTGTCAAGATACGCTCCTATTAGACGTTAGCTTCATATCTAATTGGAATTAGCATTCTGATGTATTCTTGCAAGATGTTATCACAAAACTTTGAAGCTATGCTATTGAAGGAGTTCATCGAATTCTTTTATTAAGACTAATATTATTTGCATTAATTTTAGTGTTATTTAATTATATTGATATAAAAAATACACAATTAACCATTACAAAACTTTGTATGTAACATACAAAAGAATCGTACCCTATATGGCAGATGCGACAAAGGTATCAAGACGGATTTAAATTCAATTTCATATCCATATTGATATATTTAGTAATCGCGTTAACCAGTCTACTAGTGGAGATTACTCGCTTTTTAATAAAGTGCGCCGGTAGGGGGTGACACTGGGGACATTTTTACACAAAGAGGATTACTTGGGCCCCGTTTATCTCAACCTTACAGCTCAGCTTAGCCTTCCAAATACTCTCTCAATGCACAACTTTAACGAGTATGAGATCTGATGAAATTGTTTTTCGGAAAAAAAATATAGAAAAATTCAATCACGTATTTAATAGGGATATTTTTGTAAAAACAATATAATAAATTTACTGCATTTAATATAAATAATCTAACAATATTTAAAAAAAATTAACTCGAAACCCAGAATTACAGTTGATGATGATAAATAAAATAATAAAACTTCAGTTACGTTACGAATACCTACCGATGTTCCAGAAATAGCTGCATTAGTCCCGATCAGACGAAACAAGGCGCAATTGTAGAATTGAATAACGAGGGTGTAACGACACCAACAATGCGCGGACGCAGCGGCCGACTATTATCTCGTTGAGACGCCGCGGGAACCAGACGTTCCGGGGTGCGCGAATATTACCCGCTTCCAGGATGAAGCTCTCAACTACGACCTATTTCTGATACAATCACAGGATAAGCTATTCTATTCTAATGTCTTATCTGCAAATGTCCGATGTAATGAACTTAATTAGGTACACATATCCTGAAGGACCGTAAAAAGAACTGTTTTTTTCTTATATAAATGTAATCAATCTTATTTCATCACAACCAGAAGCGTACGAAAAAGATCACGGCTAATGAGGCTACAAAATTGTCTTCGTGTTCCAAAACATAAATAAAAGCTCAAAACCTCGGTGGTCCCATATGAATATCAATTTGTTTTACTCAGCAACAACATCATTAAATTAGCGTCCAAATTGAATCACAACTGTGACAACCTTGCCGGTGCGACGTCCCGCGAAACTTTTCCTCCTATTAATTTACAAAACATCTCCGTCGATGTCTCGCAACCGAATATAGTCCTTTCCTCGTTCACTCCAAGACCTAACTTACTTTGTTGGAGCTGTAAGTTTGTTCATTATTTTTACATGTCATTGTGCAAGTGACACGAAGGAAGTCAAAGTAAATTGCGACTTTATATCCTACGATTAAGGTCGTTTTTTGTTTTTGGGCACAGCTAGGGTGTATCTGGTGAAATTATGATGCAGTCTTTATTCGTGAGCCGTCGGGAGCGGTTGCAGTAATCACCGCGTATCTCCATCCAGGGGTGGGCCGTGAATAGAGCCCTAATGAACTGGATTTAGGAGTTTTTGTGCCGGGGACTCGTCAGCTCCGAGCTGCAAAGCAATTATGACGGACCAAACAAACATTGCATATAGCTATATCCTTCCAATTACTCGGTCTCAACTATCTAGTTTTCTTACACATTCATCCGTCTAGGTTTACCTGTATTATGAGTCTTAAGCCGGTCAATATCGATACATAGATTGGAGGGCTATTCTCTGAACTATATCTGGTTTGCCATTATATTGAGAACGGCACCGAACTCCTCTGGACATCCAATCGCTCTTAATCTCCTTAGAGCGGAGCGGGCGGAATTATTTGGATCTAAGCACCTAATATGCTTAGGTAATAAAAGGTTTCATTATTGTTCGGTCTTGTCTCCGTCGAGTATATATTTTATGATATTTATTTCGGCTACCTAGAGACAGAGGTCGAGAAAAGAAATACATCACTACTATATACTTTTGTATGATATTTTATATAAAAATATATTTTATGGCTTTTTTAATAGTATATTTGAGTATGAAACAAAAAACGATCAACAACTATGTAACTGATTTTTTCAAACATATATAAACATCATAAGTCCGGTATGACAGTTGTATTTTGTACTGCCTATGTTTCCCAGCATGTGGGTCACATAACTTTCACCGAGCACGTGCTCAGACTTTGAAACTAAGGAGTATCATATGAAACAAGCGTTTATACTTGAAACGTCTATCATCTACATACAACTATATATAAGACACATGCATAGTTACCTACACAAGTTCACTAACCGGCTATCAAATTTCAGAATGACGTATGAGTTGCCAATAGATTTACAGAATAAGAGTCTCTGTTACATGTTGTATAGGAGTCAGATTTGAGTTTGAGTCCCGGAAGCGGCTGTAAAAGATGAGTCTGTTCTTATTTATTTACGGCGATGCGGCGAGCGAAGTGGAGCGAAGATGATATGAATGATAAATGACCCTCCGAACGTCCCCCCTCCTCCCCGCGCCCCGTCTCTCCCCCCGGCGGTCTCCTCACCCCTCAGCCCCCTCGTTCACACGTGAACACACGCCGTGAGATTCTCTCCTTATTCTTGATGTCTGCTGAGTCTGTGTGTCAAAATGCGATAAAGGTTCCACTGATGAAAGAAGTCACGAATATCGTTATTATGTCAAAGGTTTAAGAGATTTATATATAGGGTTCTGTTAACTGCGAGTATGTTCAAGGTTTACGTCGTATTTGCGGTCAAAGAGTAACTGGGATATATAATTGTTCTTATATAAATTTTGCTATCGCAGTGTTTAGTCTGTTATACAGGTACCAACCTATCTGTTTTGGAAGTAGATGGTCACATATGATTAATTGATACATGGGCTGGTTATGGGTTCTAATATAAAATACCTCCGATCAATCTTAACGTCTAGCCGAAGTCATCGGAGCTAAACGTATTTTTTTCAAGCCAATAGCCGCGCATCAGCATGCGTGACGCGCCGCGCGATTGGCCAGCTCTTTTTGTTCCATTTTCGAATCCTTTGTTTTTATTGGTTGACACTTAGCTAAGACAAAGGGGCGATGCATTGTGTGAGTGTGTTAAATAAGTTATGCTGCGCGTGTGTGCGTTAAGGAATCTTCTTGGCAGCATGTAAGGTAGGTACGGCGTGGGTAGTGTAGGTAGTTGGAACGTGCCCCGGGTCCTGATTTTGATTTAGGTAAGACCCTTCTGTCCTGCCTATGTGGGATGAATTGGATTGTTTATTTTTGTATCGTGAGATTTATGTACTAAGACCTTTACCTACGACGTTCATATTATGTGTGTAATAGAGAACTATACTCTTTTTTTTCATCTTGGCGCCAATGACATGATTTTTTTTAATTATTTAGTTTTCCCTTTAATTATTTGTAGTTATCATATTCGTAGGAATATAAAGTAAATATAAATATTACTTTAAATAACAAAACACTTCAAGATTTCGTCATCTTGACTGATCGTGTAAGTTGTTTATGATCATATTGAATAATATATTCAAGAAAAAATGTTGTTAATGTAATTATTATTCTAAAATACATACATCACTTGTATAATAGGTATAGGTATGCGAAAACAATGAATAAACTATTAAATAGCCTATTTGAAGAATTAATTTTTGGTTCTAAGTAAATGTAAAATAAATATAATTATGCATACGTATTATAACAAATACGAGGTCTTTTTTAAATTTTAATAGTTATGACTAAACTGCTCCAAGAATGTATTGAACTGTATCTTTGAAGTCCTTAACGAATAAAATATTATAAAACAAATTGAGGAATTTTCTACTTTTAACATTATTATTTTGCAGATATTCAGTTTCCTAAGAAATATACATCGTAATAGTTTCCATCTAATAATATTTTCCTCGACCAAATATTATTATGAGATGATCTTAAACGCTTTTTACAAGTTCTCTCAACTGCTGTGCATCTTAAAATTATATATAAACTTTAACAACAAATTAATAATACAAATGTTATATAACAATGGCCAGTAACCAACAATGAATTAAAAAAAAAGTCAATCCAAATGACAAAATCTATCAACCGTCGAAACAAGTCACCGTGAAAAATAATTCAAGCTCACCTCCAGACTGTTATGATTAATGAATGGGATTATTCAATTAAAGACCCGGCATTGAGGGCCACGGGGAGGGAGGGGGTTGTATAGGGAGGGGGGGGGGTGTTACTGGGCCCGGGGAGGGTGGTGTTCTCGAGGCTACTTGAGATCGCTACCCTAGATAGCCGGGTTAGCCGTCACACGCTTCCCGCTGATAGGGCAGACGTCTGTTCATTTGTTAGCTGATGATGTTCAGGTGTTACAGAATCAATATATTTATATATAGTTAATATATTTAGGATAAATCACACCTACTTAATCTTTGTTTAGATCTAAACAATTTGGTGTTCTATCTTTTGTATAGACATATTTAAGTTACTGTATGATAATTTAAAATAGACATGTATAACATCAAATTATACAAAAGGATGGCAACACTAAAAAAATTAACAACTAGTTTTAGCCTAGAAACAAATTTAAATTACGTTTATTTAATTCCATACGCAATAATATCGAATAAAAAAAAAACAAGATTATTCTCCATATCAATTCATACGGCTGTATATTTCATGTCCCACACAGAATAAAGTCGAAATTTAAAAAAACATCCAGCTTGCTTAACATATAAAGATATATGAAAGTGTAGCGCCCCAGATACAGTAGGAGTGCATGCAGTGAATGTAAGATAGCCCTTGAGGGGATCAAGTGCCACCGAGCACCATCCCGACGAGTGCTAGTGTCAATGTCACCGGACACGATGGTGGCCATTTTGTATGTCACATTAGTTATATGTCACTTTGACAGGTGTTTGAATATAGAACAGGCGTCACGATGAATTATTTAATAAATGAAAGTTTTATATTTGTTATATTTCGTTTTTATTATTGAAATTATTGATCTAATTAGGTAGTTAAGTTAATATGCAGATATTATAGTGATTTAGGAAGTTCCATTATTTTTTAAACCGTCGAATAATAGCTATTTTTTACGCTAGACCATTTGAATCAATTTGAAATGTATTGCAGGACGGACCACAATTCTGTGTATAGTAATGAATGTCCTAAGGGCGGGGGCGCGGGCGAATTGCGTTTGTAATAAATGATCTTTGTACAAAGTGTTCGCCGCACCATGAACCGGGAGGCCGTATATATTTTAATTTGTTATTTTACTAATCTGTGCCTTTTAGTCAGTTTATTTTTACACAGGAAATTTATCAATTTCTTTAAATCTCATCATCATACTATGATATTGATCTATTTACGTAAAAATGTATCTTGACGAATTTTGTTAACATGAACGAGTAATATGTACTTACCTATAATTTATTGGCTTTAGAAGTTTTTTAGTATGATAGATTTTACTAATGTTTCTAAACATTAGTTAACCCCTTCTTTAATATCGAAAAAAGGTAATGTTATTTTATCTATTCATAAAACGGAATAAATTACGCACAATAAATTATCCCTTCCAGGATGGTTTACTCGAAAATCGTTAAAATTGTGTTTTTATAACAAAACGTCCATTAAACGCGATTTCAACCCCATCCCTACCGCGGGATTATAATAAATGGCGCAATAATGGCACAATATAATATTAACACAAAGTTAAACGCGTTTTTTTTTTATTTTCCCTCCAAACTTCAGTATCGCTCCGTTGAACATGGCGCCCGCCATTTCACTCTTACGGGCGTGTTCTCAAAAAATGGCTTCAGGAATGAAATAAATAGCAAATATTTATCAAATGTATACTGTTTCGGATACGGAACAGGGACATCGCCATTAGTGATGTGCCTGGCGCTTCTCGATTTAACTTTTGGTTATTATATCCGGTTATACAGAGAGGGAGATTTCAATTATGTTTTCATATTAATTACGCTTTACATTTTCATTAATATTTTAAAACTGAGTTGGTACTTTATATATTTTATACATATAACTACAAGCTGAAAGTAGTAAATTAATAAACTAGTCAAGTATTTAGAAAACAACGAAATAGAAAATGCATGTAAAATGAAGCTGTAATAGAATATTTCCATATGATTTATTTAAAATCGATATTTCGTAATGCAACATCATTAGCGGGTTTACAAGTTGTTAGCCCGCGGACATTTTGTTTTAGAGTGAGTTAACAGAAGTTGACTGTTTTGGGATGTACGATGTGTTTTGAACGAGGTTAAATGACACAGAAGATGATCGTTATGATGATTACTCACAATATTAACAAATACGCCACATTTTGTTAATATTGGAACAATATAAGACATTTTTTAAAATAAGTGATGGAAATAACTCGGTCAAACATCTTATGTAGTTCAGTAAATAAATCCGATGACCGGAACTGAGTCGAGCACACCAAGTAATGCACATGATGTAGTTATTAGCCGTTTTTCCAAGTCTCAATAAAACGTTCGTCCATCGGCTAATCGACGGAAATTGTAGCCATTATCGGCACTCGGTGCAACTAAAAATTATTATTGTTCACTCTGAAAGTAGCCACTTAGCCCAGATTGCCAGTTGCTGTTACTTAGTGGAACTATATTTGAAATGCATAAAATACGAAAATTAAGAAAGTCAAGTCAAATACCTATACATAAATATTCTCTATAAGTTTCAGTGAAAATTATAATATTAGTATCTGTTTGTAGGTTTATGACGTCTCCTAATTATTATTGCCAATTACTAAACAGTGTGAGTACATCAGTAGACGAGTTTAAAAGACATAATATCATAATGTGTTCTCATAAAACATTATAAAAAGTAATCAACACTGGGAAGAAACTTAAAAATACCTCACAGCTGACATTACCCTTCGTCCTCAGAGCCCTCCGCTTCCGGTTATCGCAACAAAGGCCTCCCCCCTCCCCCCTCCAGAACAGGAAACACTACCCTTCTATCGCAAGGCGACCCGCGTCTCGGAAATTTCACGAGTATTTTTAGGCCTAATGACAAATTGTTACGTCAAGTTATGTTTTTATACGGATACGTTTCATACTTCGCAACGGACTTGTTATATCATTTGGAACTATAATCACATTTTTACTAACATCATTTAGAGTTAACAATGGTTCTGGTTCACAATAATACCATCAAGTTTATGCAATATTAAATATTATTAAAATTTTGAATCATGGAATTAATTTTTGTTATAGGTATTTACCATTAATGTCTTTATTCCATTTTATTCAAATTTTATATTATTACCGTCTATTCCTATCGGTAATACAATAAACTACCTACTACCCTAAATTTTAGATTCGAAACGCTCATTAAAAAGTATTGATTAATGAAACCGTGCGTGAATATTTACAAAGATAAAATAACATTTTTAAGCATATTTTTGTACAAGCAAAATTATTAAACAAATATGACCACCAATACTATGATTTAATTATTACTATAAGCATTACTATGATTAAAAAATTCTCACGCTAATCTAACAAAAGCCTAAATAATATA